TAAATAAACAAATAGAAAATAAAAAACACAGTGAATAGAATCATTTGAACCCGTTTCAATACAATACAAATCTATTTATTTCAAGAGCTTCCTGCAGTCAGTCGACCTTTTTCATGATTGTAATGTTGTCTTTTGTCGACTTTAAACCTGAAATCACTGATCTTTTATGGCCACTTGGGGGCAGCAGAAACAAGTGGAGAACACAACTCTGACTTATTATGACCTTAATAAGTTAATAATATGGTGAACTGGTTCACATACACCTTATTTACACATCCGGCAGTTACGTAGCAACATTCTCCACATGCTCCACTGTTCACCAGCTAGTCTCTAACTGTGTCGGCCTGCTGTTTGGTGCGGAGCAGGTAGTGTACCGTGGGTTTTTAGAGCTTGTTTTTCTGAAAACAGTGCCATGAGAACGGTGGAAGTGAACCAAAACAGTTAAATTGTGGACAGACATCCTAACAATGAGCTGAAACTCTGTTCAGTCAAGGGGAGCTGCAGATTTAAATGATGATTTTCTGTAGGTTCATCACTACGAGCGGGTCGCTGTTACATAGTGACATTGCTTTCACATTGTCATTTGATGATTAGTAAAGAAAATATAGATTATGGCCACTTTGAAGTTACTGACACACATTTTTGAAAGGTCGAAATAATCTCCCTGCACTCGCAGATAATAAAGAAAAAATATCAACAGTGACAGATTTACTGCAGTCCAAATATCACAAAGTAGATTTTTTTTTGTCACTAAAAAAGTCAAGCTGATGGCTGATTTTCTTCCTCTTGTGTAATCACCGGCTGTATGAACCCTCAAAATGAACACATTCCACGGAACATTTCCCAGGTATTTTACAAACGGAGGCACAAATTACAGAAAATCGCTGAGATCACATATGAATTAATTTTGTGCAGCTTCTCCGCCCCGCTCTAACACGCCAGTGTGTCTCAATGGATGCTGAACAAAGACGCAGCGAGTCCTCAGCCCCCTCAGGACTCTCACTAAGCTAAGTTGCTTCGCTATAACAAACCAGTGGATAAACATTGTTTCAAAATGGCTGAAAGGAGCCAGCGATGCGAACAGTCAGACCACGAACCCTCCCTCTGTCCTAATCTGCTTCTTCCCTCAGATTATTGCCATGAATGAGCAGGCAACAAGAGAGAAGACTTATCACTCCCACCCTTTCATAGCATTTGTTGTGTGTATTTTCCCTGTATATTAAATTTGTCTCCTTTAAAAGGCACTGACAATGTTTGCTATTTGTCTGTACGGTACTCGCAGCTGCAACGCGACAATAAACGCAGGCTAAGAAGCAGCACTCGGTAAACTCGGAATTGTGGAGCTTGTTGAATTACTCATGAGTTTTGATACTTTGCTTTTGTGTAAACGCTTAATTCCACTAATCCCTATGGAGAGACAGTGAATGGCGTAAATTCCCTATGATATCTCGTCTAGGCTAAACATTTGCTCACTTACGTATACATTGGGTACAGAAAATTATTCTTTTGACAACATTACAACAGATTTAACCCAGTGCCCCGTTTATCCTGCAATGACATGTATTAGCTGCATTGCGTTGGGAGGTACGTCTCCATTTCAAATTAAAACTCAGCAACTAGCCTGCAACCCACACATGGATCAAACGTTCTTTTATTTTGTTGTTGGCAGTTTGCGCTTCAGTGCCAGCGGAAGAATATTAATATTGATTGCAGAAAAATTTATTTCCACATTTTAAGTGCAGAGAAGCCATTAGAAATTCAAGAAATATTAACTCGCTTGTTCATTATTTCTTTAACTGTGTGTCAGGCCTTTTCTTCCCCGAGCCCCTCGAGGTCAAGCTCTGCAAAGCCTATTTGGCAATCAAACACTGTCCCTCTTTTTCCTCCTTTCTCCACACACACCTCTCTTGCCCTCTTTCTCTTCCCTTGGCCCTTTCTCTCCCTCATCATCCCCCCTTCTCTCTCCTCCCCTGCTCACGTTTCTTTCTGTCCGACTGGCCCTCTCAGCGGGGCTATAGAGCCCTAACTTGTCTACATTTACCCCCTGCGTTGGCTGACCAATGAGGCCGTTGCGCGGCTAGTCCCTCTTTTAGCTCCCCGCCATTCTCCCCGAGTCAGCTCATGCTCTCTGTTTTCCCAACCTCTGACCCCAGGCCATGGCAACAGGGGCAGGAATGTCAGGAGTGATTGGCAGGATAAAGAGCGCAGCCCCTCTCTCCTGCACAAGCGGATTTGAGACACTTTGAGGGGCGAACAATGGCGGATTTGGGCTTGATTGGATCACTGATGAGCTGATGACTGTCAAAAGAGCACGTCGTCTTTACATAAGCCTGATTATCTCTGCATGGCGGAGGAGCGGAGAAGAGTAGGAGGGGTAACCACTGTGGTGGGAGGGAGGGGAGGACTGGCAGGGAGCTCACCCCCATGCAGAGTGCCTCGAAAAGGGGATAGATCTGCACACGAGGGCCAGGCTACGGGGGCCCGGGCCTCTCTCATCCACTGGGGGCCTTTAACAAATCCATTCAGGCGACCGGGGGCCCTCACACATGTGGCCTTAATCACAGGAGGGTGGCTGAGGGTGGGAGTGTGAGGGGGATGACACATGGAGGCAATCATTGTTCAATCCCTCACCATCCCATCAAGACAGACAGAGGAGCGGAGAGAAAAAGAACGAGGGAAGGATACATAGAGAGAGAGCGAGGTGCTGACAGAAAAGAGCAGTGGGACAGGCAAATCAAAGACAAATCCCTTCCATAATCTACCTCTTTAATAGGGATTAGAACTCACCAAAGGGCCTATATCAGAATACCAAAGCGCCAATGAAGACTCTATTCACAGTGAGAGTTTGAGGGGCTGATGGGACTCTGCAAACTCAGAAGTGTCTCGGTGGCTGTTTTCCTCACTCGCAGCTTTTTACAGTGTGTACCAGTTCTATTTTTTGAAAAGTTTTGGGGCAACTTGGGTGACAAACAACCAACATGAAGCATAAACTTTGAAACTCTGAAGAAGTTTCCGGCGGCACCCGCCAGAAAGCACTAATCATATTTTGGATCTGCTCACTTTTTCCGCTCCTTTCATAACAAAACATGTTTTGGACACGCTGTGTAACTGATTAAACAGCCATTTGATGTCATTTTCAGCCCCATCATGCTAAACTCACTGATATCCAACTTTGAAAGAATAACATATTGTTTGGGTACTTGGAAGAACAGTAGCGTGATCTGGCTGGGATGAAGTGTGGAAAAAGTAAAGTGTGTAAGAGAGAGAGAGCGGCTGATATTCTCCTCAGCGGTGCGGATGGCAGTCTGTCAGAGTTGGCAGAGGAAGTGAAAATGGCCTCAAGTGTCTGGCTTCCCTCCATGCTGTTCTCACATCAATGACAGCTCTCACTGCATCATCTCTCTCCCTCCCTCTCTCTCTCTCTCTCTCTCTCTCTCTCTCTATATCTCTCTCATTTGCGCTCTTTAGACTTGAGTTTGCTCTTTCCATCTCTTGCTTTTTTGTACTCTTTCTCCGTCTGTGAAAGGATGGATGGCTGGATGAATTAAGAAAAACAGATTTTTTGGAGTGTGGAAGAAACACCAAACCAAAGTCAAGACTCTTATTATTTCTCCACACCTCGTACACACGTGTCAGGCGGTTCAGCATTTTATGATATATACACTTATTTGTTTTCTTGCTGAGAGTTACGTCAGAAGATTGAGTGCAGTAAATATGAAGCTACAGCCAGCAGACTGCTACCTGTGCTTAACACTGGAGACTGAGAACCGACACATTCTCACTCCCAACTCATCAAATTGGCTACAGACGCTCGGTCAGTGGCCCTAAACTTTAAACTATGACGCTAGGTAAATCCTCTAGCGGCGGTTTTGGCCATGGCAGGGACGGCTTTTAGTTTCCAAAGTTATCGTGTCTTTTCAAAATAAACTTGTCTTCAAAGGAAGTTAGATTTAGGCAACAAAGCCACTTGGTCATGTTTAGGAAATGAACGCGTTTGACGTTAACTTGACTGACTATCGACTCGCGTGACTGATGTGACAAAACCTCAAGATTTACTCTTAGTTCTGCACGGGGATGAGAACAGCGGTCTCCTGGATGAGAGTCCTGTGTTTGTGTGACCCACCTGTCCTGTGTGGACTTTCTGGCTCTTTATACTATGTCAGTACTTTGACGCGGTGGGGGGGGTTAGTTCAGAGTTAGTTCAAAGCGCTGTATGTTGGTATCAGATGCCGAGGTGCACAGTGACCAAGCGTCGCTGTTTGACAAGTTGGGACTGAGACCCGTTTGGGTAAACAGCTAGACTTGTTCTGTCAAAAGTTTTGAAAAAAACCATCCCATTTGCCAGCACTTCTAAAGATCACTGGTTAACGCTTCATATTCCTTTTGTTTAATCCATGCCAAAACCAAAGTGTAAAAATTACAGGGAGGTATACCATTTTTTTAACAATTATTCAACAAATGATGTGGCCAAATGTTGGGCCTATTTGTAGCTGTTTTTTAGGTTTAGAGTTATAAGAGCATTGTTCATACAAGCTTCTAGTTTTTAATACGTGCAACACTGTACAAATGAAGCTGAACTAGATGTACAGTAAAGCATCGAGTGAGAATTGTTGTACGTAGCACTGCATCTAATTTTGGTCATTTGAGTCAAAAAGAGTAGAATTAATCAGCTGTTGCCGTCCCATTTAAAAAAAAAACGTTTATCTCCAAAACGTTGATGTTACAGAAGGATCAGTTTTCAGTTTTTTGACAATGCATTTTTCAAATAATCCATTGTGATTTTAAATAATTTAAAACAATTTCACCAAATTTTGAGAAATGTTTTTTTAAGAATTCAGCAACAACATGCAAAATTAGCAACATTATTATGGCGGTGTCTGTGTTTGTCTGCTGATGGGAACTGTATAAAGTACACAATAAATGTCTTAAAATGTTTTACACTAACAACTGTTGGGAGTTTACAAGTTGACATGCAGAAAGCTTTAGTGATCCTCAGCATGGACACAGACACAGTGACATGTTTTGCTCCACGAAGTAAAATTCTGCTTTACTCTTTCTGAGAGTGAGGTGGCAGCATTGAGTTAATCTGTAGGTCCATGATCCTGCCGGCTGTGATTCTGTCACTGTGTACGGCGCCTGCTCAAATCACCATTTGACTGTGTACTCTACTGACCGTCTATCTGCCCAAACAAGTCTGCAATATATTTATGTAAATTATAATAAAGTAAGTAACGAAGTGCCGGTTCATTTCACTCGTCAACTTGCTATTCAACACATTGCCATATACTTATTTGTTACACCTTTACGGACCACGTAACCCAACCTGACCCAACCTAAATCTAACCGTTTCACTGATCTAATCCAAATACTGAACATCTGCAGCACTTGACTTCTACTAAGAGGCCAAAGCCACTTGACAATAATGGAAGTTGACGATCAGCGTTTGACTTTCAAACTGAAGTGTGAACCTAAAAGCAGTTGCTTCATATGCAGCTTTTAAAGATGTCAAGCCTTATCTGCATAGCGAGTTTAAATATGCAATTAAATCTAAAATAGGTGTGTGCACCTGAACCTGAGACGGTCCAGGCCCCCTTGAGAGGCCAGAGGACTCAAATCATGTGACATGCATGACCTGCTGCTAATCCAAGCATGCGTGTGGGACCACAGCTTTGAGAAACACTCACTATTAACAGCCCTGAGACCCCCCACCGTCCTCTCTCTCCCTTTGCCCTGATGTCTTTGGGCCTGTGAACGTCAAGGATGGCTCAGAGTGACACACAAACCCCCCCCCCAACTCCCCTCCCATCAACCTCCCCCTGAGCTGCCGACCCCATACTGGCTGCTGGCCTTTCCTGCCGTCTGATCCATATTTCAGAGGCGGCAGTGGTGGCACTGAGGGGGTATAATCCAACATTAAAGCAAGGAGGTCTGGGCTGAAAGCACAGACGCAGGTTCATAAGGTCCTGGAAATCTTCAATTTCAATTTCCGCAGCGTTTGCAGTGGCTTCCAAGGCGCTGGCATAAGTCTCCGAGTTTTGGCGGGAGTGCAGATTCCAATAAGGGTGAGACTTTTCTTGCTAAAAGGGGCTGACTCTGCACGGTTTAGTTGGCAAGGAGAGTGTGAAACAAGACACGGTGAAGAAGGGGTCAATTAAAAGGTGGGGACACTGTGATCATCAATAAACAAGTGGAAATCTATAATATTTGAAATGTGTATTATTGTATATTCATGTAAATTTAGGATTTCCCGTTAAAGTAACACATCCTCTGTGACTTTACACTTAATTTCTTAGAGGAATGAAATTAAAAAGAGAATTTCAATGACGGAATGAATTCTAATGTGCACATTAAGACTGATATCTGTCATGTGATATAACATACTATGAATTAACATTTTATAGATCTCAATCAACCTTAAAAGTAAGATAAACATGTAAGAGTAGGGCACTGCTTTTAGGAGGTTTAAGTCACCCGTTGCACTTTTGATTTTCTCGAAATTTTTGACAGAATATGAACAATTTCTAATTAGGGAAGAAAACTCCAATAATAAATGACTATAATGACATTTATTTAGTTCCCAAAAAAATATATTCTTTAAAGACAAATTCATATCCTGTATTTACAATTTTTAAAGGTTTCCATTCACAACAGATGAGGCGAAGAAGAAACATATAGGACATAAAAGAGAGATACAAGCAAATCTGTGACAAAAACAACCATCTCGTTTGCATGTAGAAGCTAAACGGTAATACTATGACAGGTAGCACTGTCAAAAAAATAGCCTTCATTAAACTGTTCTCCGTTAAATAAAATTATTCCTTTCTCTTTCTCTTTGTCTTCTCATAATGTCATTGTCACAACTCGCTGTGGTGCTGTCCCATGGTGAGGTCTGAGGAGAGGAAAGAGAACAGAAAGAAAACGTAGGTCAGAGGTGAAATAAGTGCAACAGTGGGATGAATTACAAATATTAGGGAAAAATGTGTGTATATATACCCGTATCATAAGTACTTCAAATAATACACTGCTTTAAATACTATGAGTTCAATCTTTTAAATGCTATCTAAAACAATGTTAAACTCTATTTATGCAAATGAAAGAAAACACTAAATTGCTTTGTGTCTTTACACCCTCCACTACCTCCCTGATGTTGCTATCAGCGTTTTCTTTGACATACATTAGCTGCATTCACTGGGGGGGCGTGAATAAATGGCGGCAGATTATTTAAATGACATAGGTGGCGATAATTTAGGGGGGGGGGGGGGGGGGGGGGGGGG